CCATCTCTACAAAAACAAACAAAAAAAGAAGTTGGCAACCATGCAATGGCAGGAATGCCTCTTCCTTCCACCACTAAAGAGAAGCCATTTCTTGTCCATCCTATCTACCCACACGATGACTTCTAATAATAGGACAGAAAAAGAAGGCATTAAAAGCAATGCACCATGGCATGCAAGTAGCTCTTTCTCATATGAGTTGGATTATAGCTGATGAGAAACTGGCACGGAGGATCATACACCACAGGGTGAAGGCACCATGAAATATGAAAACATATATGGCTGTAAATGCATGGAAAAGTTCTGGAAGAAAACTCACTGAACTCAAAAGTAGGTATACTCTGGTAAAGAACCAGATGAGGGTGTTGGAGGTCTACAAAGAGGAAAGTTCACTTGTACTGGTACTTTCTGTATTATAAAACTCTAAACAATGAGAATAGATCCATCTGTCCTTACAATTTTTATAAACTCAATTTTTAAAAGGAAAGACAGAAAGTTTTAAGAGATTTAAAAAGCATAAAAATTTAGCAGATTACCAGCACTCAAGGACTCAGAAAGGGACATAATCCAACAAGGCACATCAGAAGGCTTCTTACATATTGCATTTATTTTTTTATTTTTTTGGGACAAGAGTCTCACTTTGTTGCCCAGGCTAGAGTAAGTGCCGTGATGTCAGCCTAGCTCACAGCAACCTCAAACTCCTGGGCTCAAGCGATCCTCCTGCCTCAGCCTCCCAAGTAGCTGGGACTACAGGCATGCGCCACCATGCCCGGCTAATTTTTTCTATATATATTAGTTGGCCAATTAATTTATTTCTATTTATAGTAGAGACCGGGTCTCGCTCTTGCTCAGACTGGTTTCGAACTCCTGACCTAGAGCAATCAGCCCACCTCGGCCTCCCAGGGTGCTAGGATTAAAAGGCCTGAGCCACCAAACCCGGCCCATTTGTTATTCTTTAGCACTGTCATTTAAAAACAAAGCTTGGCCGGGCGAGGTGGCTCACGCCTGTAATCCTAGCTCTCTGGGAGGCCGAGGCGGGCGGATTGCTCGAGGTCAGGAGTTCGAAACCAGCCTGAGCAAGAGCGAGACCCCGTCTCTACTATAAATACAAAGAAATTAATTGGCCAACTAATATATACAAAAAATTAGCCGGGCATGGTGGCGAATGCCTGTAGTCCCAGCTACTTGGGAGGCTGAGGCAGGAGAATTGCTTGAGCCAGGAGTTTGAGGCTAGCCTGGGCAACAAAGCGAGACTCTGTCTCAAAAAAAAAAAAAAAAAAAAAAAAACAAAGCTTATGAACTCAAATGTAAAAGTTAATTTTTAAGATCTCTGAGTACAGTCAAGATTTCTAAGATAAAAAGATACAACTACCTTAATACATAATCTTTCAAAGATCTTTGAAATACCTTTGAAATATATCTTTGATATATATCTTTGAAATATATTTTTCAAAGATATACTTTTGGTAAATACATTAGTGAAAGTTAAAAATTGGTTGCTGAAAAGGCAGAATCCACTCACCATAATATTTACTGAGTGTTGAGGTTGAGACAAGTATCTTCCTTGTAATTAAAATGTCTTTTAAAACCTCTTTGGTCTCCAGTTTCTTTTATGAGCAAGAAAATCAGAGTTCTACCCAGGTACATTATAGAAAGCAATATTCCATTGATTCTGCAGGATGACAAGGAACTATCTTTTATTCATATCTAGAGTATTCTTTTTTCCTAAGTATGCTTAGGTTCTAAAGTACATATAAAAATAACAGGTAGGCTGGGCGTGGTGGCTCATGCCTGTAATCCTAGCACTCTGGGAGGCCGAGGCAGGCGGACGGCTCGAGGTCAGGAGTTCAAAACCAGCCTGAGCAAGAGCGAGACCTGTCTCTACTATAAATAGAAAGAAATTAATTGGCCAACTAATATATATAGAAAAAATTAGCCGGGCATGGTGGCGCATGCCTGTAGTCCCAGCTACTTGGGAGGCTGAGGCAGAAGGATTGCTTGAGCCCAGGAGTTTGAGGTTGCTGTGAGCTAGGCTGATGCCACGGCACTCACTCTGCCCTGGGCATCAAAGCAAGACTCTGTCTCAAAAAAATAAAAAATAACAGGTAAAGGCCGGGTGCGGTGGCTCACATCTGTAATCCTAGCAGTCTGGGAGGCTGAGTCCGGGAGGATCACTCAAGGTCAGGAGTTCAAAACCAGCCTGAGCAAGAGTGAGACCCGCGTCTTTACTAAAAATAGAAAGAAATTAATTGACCAACTAAAAATATATAGAAAAAATTAGCCGGGCATGGTGGTGCATGCCTGTAGGCCCAGGTACTCGGGAGGCTGAGGCAAGAGGATCGCTTGAGCCCAGAAGTTTGAGGTTGCTGTGAGCTAGGCTGACGCCACAGCACTCTAGCCCAGGCAACAGAGACTCTGTCTCATAAAACAACAACAAAAAAATGGTAGGTAAAAATAAAAACTTATAGTTCAAAACAAGAACTACTTTAAATCAATTTTATATTTAAATAAAATATGTAGCAGTGATTTTTTTCTTTTTTAATTTTTTTTAAATTTTAGCATACTATGTCGGTACAAGTGTTAAAGCTATGTATATTGCCCATGCCCCCCCTCTTTTTTTTAACTAATGTAAAATGTCTTCAGTGACTGGTCTTTAAAAGCAGAGGAAATAGGACATGTGTAATTTCCTAGTAATTTTTCTGTGCACTTGCACCCAATAAACTATTTCAGATACAAAGACCAAGAGGAAATATTAGATCTTAATATGCTAACAAATCATATCACACATTTGCTAGTATTGCAAGGTAGAGACTAAGAGACCATACTCAATGAAACTTTAGCTTTAAGTCTTCCATCCCTGATCTTTGATTATGCCTATGCAACAATATTGTTAGTAAGAGTAATACAATATTGTTATTTTCTAATACTAATCAAAAAAATAAAGTCAACCTTTAGTAAGAGGAAGGAATTTTTTTTTTGAGACAGTCTGGCTCTATTGCCTGAGCTAGAGTGCTACGGAGTCAGCCTAGCTCACAGCAACCTCAAGCTCCTAGGCTCAAGCAATCCTCCTGCTTCAGCCTCCCAAGTAGCTGGGCCTACAGGCATGAGCCACCACGCCCGGCTAATTTTTTCTATATATTTTTAGTTGTCCAGACAATTTCTTTCTATTTTCAGCAGAGATGGGGTCTCACTCTTTCTCAGGCTGGTCTCAAACTCCTAAACTCAAATGATCCTCCCTCCTCGGCCTCCCAGAGTGCGAGGAATACAGGCGCCAGGCCAAAAGGAAGGAAATTAACTAATATTCAGGTAATCCTCACAACTGATACTGGCAAACACTTGAAAATTTCTTCTCCATCAAACTTTGTACTGTAACTGTTACAGAGAGAAATGATAGAAGTGTCTTCTTCATTCCATAGTAATGTGGGGCTACTAAACAGATTACCCAGAAATAGAAAACTTTAAGGAAGAAAAAAAGAGGCTTGTGCTTGAAGTACAAAGTAGAAAGCAGATTCCTCAGAATGTGAAGTCTCCTTGAGAAGATTCTTTTCCTCCTCTGCTGTATAAATAGACATTATTAGTGCAGACCACTCCAAGGCACAAACTATGGTTTTACTAAGACTCTTAACCGATGGTCAGTGTTGACCCACTTTCTAAGTAAGTAATAAGGTAGTAACACCGGACTGCCTCCCAGCTGAACCCAATGGACCCATACAGTTAAACTGCCATCCACTAAGTATCTCACAGTTTTCAGAACTCTGCTGTCCGATTAAAATGCATGGGCTTGGTAGACAAGGAATCTGGGTCAACTGCATTCCTTCTCTTAAGCTGCTACTTAGGACAAACCACGTAATCACATTTACCTTCTACTCCATGGAAAAAGTGCCATCACATTTGGTTCACAGAGAAGTATTAACCCTTATAATCCAGGACACACGCAAACACGAAATAATCAACAAATGTTAACCTTTTCCCAGGGCAGGGATGGGGGCAGAAACGGTGAAGTTAGAGTTTCCTGGCAGTGCAGAACAGTCAAAAGATTTGCATTGGTGCTTTATAAAATATAAGAGACAGAGAGAGATGGAGAGATCCCCACCCCAGAAAAGTCCCTCTGTCTCTTTCCAGAACTCATACCATACAGCAAAATATTTGGCATTTATAGTATGCCTTGTATCGTTTCCATACTATTAGATCTTTTTGAACCAGATTTCACACTCCTTCATGAGGCTTTTTATGCCCATTGCCTACTCTGGGGTCCTGCTCATTGCCAGTAGCCACAAACATTAGCTGACAGATAAGATACAGCACGGAGTGGGGTCAGCGGCAGGCAGGGCTCTCCCGTGACACAGGGGCTTCAAAAGGTGGAGGCCTCCTCGTGACACGATATGATCCCGGGAAGTGCCCCTCCAACGCCACACGTTCTCTTCCTGTCACCCGCGCACCACTGCAGTTTCTGTCCCGTTCCGGGCACCGGGCTGGCATATTTACGGGTAAGGAAGGAACGCCCATAGAACCCGAGTCAGGAGCACCGTGAGGTGGCGGCGGCGGCGCAGCGGCCACACCTACTCGGCCGCCGCGCCCGGAGCCCGCAAAGGCGCGGCGGCCGGTCTCGGGCGCCGCCCTCTCCTCGCCCGCTCCGGGGAGGCTCGCAGGCGGCACCCGAGGCCCGGCGCCCCGGTGTGGACCGGCTGGCCGCTCGCCGCCCCCGCCGGAGCACGTGGGAGGCCGCGAGGACCAGCGCCAGCCCGAGAGGGGCGGAGACCGGGCTGGGCAGACGCCCGCGGCCTGGGCGACTCTGAAGTAAATAAGCCGGCGCCCAGACCGCAGTCGTCCCCACTTACGCCGGCATCGGGGGACACGAGCTTCCGAGGGCCGCCCCGCGCCCCCGCCTCCCGGCCGGCCGGCCCCAGCCACCCCGCGGGAGGCGGAGCTCCGTGGGGGCCGGGCCGGCCCTTCCCCGCCGAGCGCCCCTTCCCGCCCGCGTCCCGTCCCCCGCCGCCACTCACGCTGCTTGCCGCCGCCGCCGCCGCCGCCCGGGTAGCTCAGCAGCAGGAAGGGCAGCGGAGAGCCCGGCGACGGCGGGGTCCTCCAGGAGCGCTGCTGCGGCGGCGGCGGGCGCGCTGCGAAGCCGGCGCCTCCATCGCCCGGGTAGAGCAAGAAGAAGGGGGCGGACACCGGCGAGTCGGGCTCCGACTGCCCCGCGGGGGAGGCCGGCTGCGGCCGCGCCTCGTCCTCTCGCCCCGTGACCCCGGCGGCAGCGTGGCGCGGCTCCTCGGGCGGCAGCTCCCCGCCCCTCGCCGGCTCCTCGCTGCAACTTTCAGCCCCAGCCGCGGGCGGCGGCGGGGTCTCGGCCATGCTCGCTCTTTCTTCGCCGCCGCCTCCCACTCGCGCCCAGGCCTGGCGGGGGAGCGGGGTCAGGCCGGGGAGCCGCCGCCCGGTCCCGTCAGTGCCGCCGCCGCCACCTTTCTCCTCGGCTCGGGCCGGCGCCTGGCTCCGCCGCTGGCTCCAAGCCCGCCCCGCCGGGTCCGAGCCAGCTGAGGGACCGCCCCGCCCGACGGCGCGGCCTCCTTACCGGCCGCCTCCTCCGCACGCCCCTCCCGCCGCGGCCCCACGCCTGCCACCCGGCGCCCCTAGGGGGCGGCGTCCTCCGCTTCCCGCTCCCACCTTCCGCTTCCCTCCCGCGGGGCCGTCCCCGCCCTACCGGCGAGGGGACGCTGCCCGGGCCGCGTCCTTCCCCGCCCCCCGCCTCGGCCTCCGAGGCGCTCCGAGGCGTTTGTCCCCTCGGTGCCTGAGGGGCGGGAGACCTGGCGAAATGTCCAGCGGCGTTTTCGTGTGTAACCGCCAATTTCGTCGGTAGCACTAAGGCACAAAGATCTAGGTTGAAGAAGAGGCGAGAGCTAATTTGAAAAGGCCACCTCCTTCTCCCCGGGCATTAAACTGTACCGTTTGCCTTTCACACACTGGAACTTCAACCATTTATTCATAGTTTTGATTCATGAGCTTTTTATGTGAGAAACCAGAGGTGGGAGTCTTCCTTCCACCACCTCTTTTGTTCCCGGCTTGTGCTCTCTGTAGAAATCTTGTATTTCCTTTCGTTTTAATTCCCTGGTTTTCTAGTGCTCCGGGTGCGCATGAGTGCATTTTAAGCCAAACAGCTGAGAATTTATGTGACAAGTGTCTATTATTATAGGTCGACAGTTTTCACCTTCACAGCGCCTGTGTCTCGCTAGTAATTGGCCACCGTTGCTTTATTTTGAATATTTGAATCAGTGATTACTGATCCAGTAATTCCCTTGAGTAAACATTTATTTAATAAAGACAATATTCAGTTACTGTCGTTACTCTTTATCCTGGATTCCTATCTGATTTGCTTTGTGTTTGGGTTGCAAATGGCTGGCATAGGATCCATGTTGACTCATAATTAAAAATCACTGTTGTGTGACATTTTGCCCACCTGCTTTCCCCTTTCTCTGTTCCCGTCTGTTCCTCTGCAGAGGAAGTTGTAGTTCTCTGAAAGGAAAAGTAAACCTTTTTTATTTGTTGTTATTCTCTGTAAATCACTCTTGAAATTATTAATATCACCAGAAATTACCATGAGACTTCTAATACCATTCTTCACTAAGTCTTTTAAGTAAGAAACATTCAAAAAAGAAATGTTTACAAGAAGCTAACTTCTTAGAAAATTTCCTAGTAACTTTTCAGTTTTCTGGAATTTCCCTGACCTGTTGACCCCAGTCCTAATAACCTACTTGAGTAAGTTATTTTATCTTCTTCTGTAGAGTGATTGTATTATACATTCACAGAAATGTGAAGGTTAAATTAAAAAATATAAGTAAAGCCTTCAAAACATAGTCTAACATAGGGTTAAATAAATTATTATTAGTAGCTACCTATTATCATTTTGGCAAAACTGTATAACTTACTAGAAGAAAACAAACTGAGTTGGGGGAAAACGCTTTTCATCATATCTTTAGCATTTTGGAGGTTTGCTGGGCCTTTTCCTTTCACTTTTTTGGTATGGCTGAGAGTCTCAACAGACCTATTTGTCTTTTAGGAACTGCAAACTGTACAATACCTTGAAAAGAAAGACTGAAAGTTTCCAGATGTATTTATGGTTTTAACACTCATCCTTAACTGCATCTCTTATCCTGTTTTTGCATAAAGAAATTGCTAAATATCATTATATTTTTGTTAGGTTCCATCATAGAGATGTTTTTGCAGTGTTTCAGTAAAGAATTTGACAAGAATCTATACCATTGTAGGTAGAAGAAAAGAGAGCAGAATCCTCACCAACCATTCTTGAGAAAGGCCAGTAATAGTCAAGGGAGTCACTAGCTTAACAAAGTATGAAATGCTATCTGGTCTAAATCGCCAGCTTTCTCCTTTCCTATTAACCAAGATACCTATAGGTATACAGTGACCTGCTCTGGAATCATGCAGTGTTCAGTGTATTAGTTTTTTGTGCCTCTACTTTTAAAGAGTTCTTTTTATATTTTATGCCATTAATTGAGTGGCAGTATAATGAATACAAAAAATCAGCTGAATTATGAGTCCTTTAAAATTTACAGGCAAAGCTATTTATGAAGTTTCTTTAGAAGTGGATGGTACTCCAAGTTCCCAGTTTCTTAATGCTTTTAGCTTTTGGATCAATAATATAATCACAGCTCTGCACTGCGTTTAGTGACATAATGGGCTGATACAGCTGCTATACACATTTAAGGAAGCCAAGATTATAAAAACAAGCCTAAACACGTTGCTCCTTCTTGAAAATGCACAGAGAAACTGCCTATACTGTTTTAAAGAGACAAAATCCAAGCAATATAATTAAGAATTTTCTTGTGAAATAAAACAGGAAGCGCTTTTCAACTTTTTCTGCTTTTTATTTTTAGTTAGCCATGTTTGGTTTTTTAATACTCTTTGGTGATCTTAAGGATGGATACTTAGACTAGATTACAAAACTTCTCAGAGGCCAATGTCATGGATGATAATGTAGTTTTAGCATTTTAGTATAAACTTGCATCTGTTTCCAATGGCATCTAGGATTTAAAAATAAAAAAAAATAAAATAAACTTGCATCTGTGAACAGAAAAAAGATACTGCTTAAGAAGGGTTGATATTCTTTTTCAGTAGAGCACCTAGTCTTATTATGATTCTAAAATAATGGTTTTCTTGAGCCATTTGTTTTACATTGTATGGTACTTGGGAAAAACCTTAAATTGAGTGCACTCAATTTAAGACTTCATGTTAAACTTATTTTAATAAATGCATTAATTTATTTATACCAGTTAATATAATGCTTCCATGTGAAAGCTCTCAAGTCTTGTTTTTTACTTCGTAATTACTAAGTTTTGATGACTGTCATTAACATTATTTTTCTGAAACATTAATTATAAAAATACTTAGTCAATTTATGTCTTCTGTTTATTAGAGAAACTTTAAGAAGTATAAGCAATTTATTTAGTCTAGATCAATCAATGGCAGTTTTCTTTGAGTGGTAGAAATATGGACATATTTTTGTATTTCTCTACTTTTCTCCATTTGCAAATAGTCTATAAAGGATTTGTTACTTTTATAACAGTAAACAAAACATATTGGGGGGGTTGATGAATAGTATAATTATATCTTTTTTATGAAGATCTAACAGCAAAGTTGTGATCTTTGTATATATTGTGAGAAATATAATTCAAGAGGAGCTTATCATATTTTGTGTCTATTTAGAGTGTTTAATATCTTATAATGTTGCTTAAGCTATTTGGTGGTTTGCTTTTTCTTACCTTCCATGACTTTATCTGGTTTGTCCAAATTCTTATGCTCTCTCCTTTAAATTCTTCTAAATTTCCCTTAAGTCTTTTAATTTGTCCTCTCTGCTTTAATTTAAGCTTCATCTTTTCTTGCCAATGTTGCTACAGAGGACTGCTAGGTGCCTGTAGGTTTTAGTTTTTGCTTGAGACAGAGTCTCACTATGTTGTCCAGGCTGGTCTCCAACTCCTGGTCTCAGGTGATCCTCCGGCCTCTGCCTACCAAGTAGCTGGGAATAACAGTGTATGCCACAGAGCCTGGCTTCCCTGCCTCTAGTTTTATTTTTTATTTATTTAGAGACAGAGTCTCACTTTGTTGCCCAGGCTAGAGTGAGTGCCGTGGCGTCAGCCTAGCTCACAGCAACCTCAATCTGTCCTCAAGCGAGCCTCCTGCCTCAGCCTCCCGAGTAACTGGGACTACAGGCATGTGCCACCATGCCCGGCTAATTTTTTGTATGTGTATTTTTAGTTGGTGGGTTAATTTCCTTGTATTTTTAGTACAGACCGGGTCTTGCTCAGGCTGGTTTTGAACTTCTGACCTTGAGCGATCCTCCCACCTTGGCCTCCCAGAGTGCTAGGATAACAGGCGTGAGCCAATGCTCCCGGCCTGTGCCTCTAGTTTTAATCCATTTCAGTTCCTCTGCTCTATAGCAGTTAGAATGAGTAATTTACTTTTCTGAAGGCTGACCAAATCATGTCACACTTTCTTAAAAAAAAAAAACCTTGGTTGACTTCTCCATATCTGGGATACAATCTGTGCCTTCACTTCCTAGTAAGGCCTTTCATGATCTAGCCCCTCCCTACCTTTCAAAGATTATCTTCCTATCTTGCCTGTTGCCTATGGTTAAAGCTCTAACATGAAATTCTGCTGAAACAGATCTGTGACACTTTTTCTGCTTTCCCTACATAGAGGGGTGCAAGGTACATGCCATTTTTGAGGTTCCACAGCATCCTATTTAAGCAGTTAATTGCTTCAATTTTAATGGGTCCATGCCTACTCCCAAAGTGACATCTTTGTTGGTCCTTTTTACAAAGCATAGTTCTTGGCCCCCTTCACGTTCTTTTTTAAAGCCTTTCTTTTTAAGAGTCTATCAAAAATCTTTGATCCTGTCTGTGGCCATTGGGGCCCCTTGTATTGATCATCAATTTTATCAGTCACTGCGCACAGACATTTGCAATTTAAGCCTGATCCCCAGGACACACCACAAGCCACACCAGTTTTAGGTTTATTTGTATTTATTAGGAAAAGGGAAGGGAAAAGTAAGGGGATCACCCGGAGTATAGTAAGAAAATAAGCAAAGAGAAAGCATCAATCATACCACCAGGACCCCATCATCATCAGCACCGGAGTCAATCATCACGGGCAAGTCTCAGGCAGCGTAAAGGCAACAATGTGCTGGGATATCAAGCAGACAAGCACGCCAACAGGTTGGATAGTAAAAAATGGCGGCCACTCGGGGGCTTATTCTATGCTGGTTATATAGTGATCTGAACAAAGGCTCAGTGCCAAAAAGGCGTAGGCTCTGGTCACGTGAGGTCCCGGATCTGGCCTGGAGCCAGGCCCCTATGTGACTGGTCTCACATAACAGTTCTGGGTGAGAGTCTAGGATAAACATTCCTAAGCACATAGCTCAGAGTTGTCAATTCCCATTCCCTCAA